TTGGGCTACTTTTTCCCCCTCGAGTGACCCACGGGAAGGAAGGAAGCTAGTTTTCTAGGAGCAAGCTGCCGTGTTTTTACCTGATGCTGTTTGAAACAGGAAGCACACGACACACAAATTAAGGTATATGTTTGGCCACCCCTGGATAAAAAGAGCTCATGGCCCACTCAAGCTTTCCTGGGAAAAGGGCCCCGATTACAGGCCCAGTACCCTCAGCCCACAGCCCGAGTACCAGACTTCTCACACACTGTCTTTAAAAAATAAACGTTCTAGACATCTGTTGCACAAGAGTGTGAATATACTTATCACTGCTGAACTGCGTGCTTGACCATGGTTAAAACATTTTTTACCAAAAAAAAAAAAAAAAAAAACTGTTGCTGCAAACAGTGGTACAAATACAAATCCATCAAGCCCTTCTTCCCTGATCCCCTACTCCTACTACTTCCTCTTCTCAGATCTAACAATATACCCTCTGGGCCCAGTGCTCCCCCCCACACACATCTTCCTTGGCACATACCTCTGTGCCCTCATACCAGCTGGCTTGGGATTAAAATGGACCAAGCTAGGGAAGTGCCAGAGAGAGTGCAGCCTATTGTATCGAATTTCCTTGGCCTTTTATAGGGATGCACAGCAAACCCAGCAAATGCAGTGCAGGGGCCTGAGAATGAGGCCTGTGTTGCTCTAACCCTGGCTCAGCCACCAATTAGCTTGGAGCAAGCCATTTAGTTCTCCGGACCTCCTCTCTATAAAAATAGGAGGCTGGCTCAGGTGATCTCTAAGGTCTTCCAGCTCTGAAAGCCTGAAAGTTCTCTGGTTCAAACGTCCAAGAAACTGGGGAAAACGGAGAAGTCTGCGAATCTGAGCCTTCTAAAGTGATTCTTCAAGCCCTTTTATCATCTTTTACTCAATTCCTTTGTCTGTTTGGATACACAGTGGTTTTTAATTTTATCAAAATAATTAAAATAGTATTGTTGTACTGTAATTCCACTGATAATCATTTTTGGACAGATACCCAGAGAATGTTATAGGCCTCCCTGAGACAGCAGTGAAGGATGAAATACTTCACACAAGCTAATGGATGAAACTGTTAAGTCACCCTCTGGTACACAGGGACAACCAGAGGAAAGGAGGCTGACCTCCTCCATGCCTCACTTCAAATCAACAAACACATCACCAAAGAACATTTCTGTGCCAGGTGCCAACCCAGGTACTAGGACACAAAGATAACCATCGCCAAACCCAAGTTGCTAAGGGTCCATTAGGGGAAACCCAGAGTGTCCCAGTTAGTAGCAAAATAAAAAAGATTTCGGGCAGCCCAGGTGGCTCAGTGGTTTAGCGCCGCCTTTGGCCCAGGGCATGATCCTGGGGACCCGGGATCGAGTCCTGCATCGGGCTCCCTGCATGGAGCTTGCTTCTCCCTCTGCCTGTGTCTCTGCCTCTCTCTCTCTTTCTGTATGTGTCTCTCATGAATAATTTTTTTTTTTTTTAAAGAGAGATTTCTTTCTGCTAAGAGAGCCATGCATACTGGAGAGTAGACACAGAGGGAGGGCAGGGGAAAGGGGAAGGGGAAGTTAGGGCACTCGTTTTGGCAACCTGGATGGCCCTCACAACTAAAGCACCTTGCCAAGACTCGAAGGACTATGTCTGGTGGGCCAGGAGCACTTTCCGCAGCAAGTCGGCTGAACTTAAAACTGAACAGGTGACTTGAAGGAGAAGGCTGATGATGGAAAGGACAGCCTCTTCCTTTCTCCCATAACTGGCACAGTTGGCCACTCAAGCCTCTGGAAAAAACTGTTTGATTTTTTTTTTATATAGTTAGTTGACCCTGTCCTTACATTGAAACAACCCCACTCACTGGTCAGCAAAGGAAGCATTTAAACTCTTGGATGAGAGTGTCACGACACGCATAAGGCAGCCCAGTGCAGAGAAACGGTGGGGCTCGGTGACAGTTTGGGTGACCTTGGGCTTGTCGACCTGTCTTCTACAGTACAACATGTGGCTGACATCCACTTCTCTAGGTGATGGAAAGGTGTCTATAAAACGCAAAAGAAATATAAAACATGCTTATCAGGCATTCGATGTCAACCACTACCGTGTGAGCGATATACACAAAGGTATCACTGATTGATTCAAAAACTATCACCTTGGAAATTCCACCTAAGTCGTACACTACTCTCTTCTAGTAGAACAGACAATGCTCAGGAGTAAATGGAGTACTTCCCTCTGTGGCTGCCTCTGGTCGGGCTCCTCTGTGTTCCATCACACCAGCTGCTAAGGAATTTACTGCCTGCTGACCAGCTGCTTGTAAGGAATGGGAGCAAGTGAGGAAGGTTGCAGGAGGGGAGCAGAGGAGTGAAGGGAAATCTCTCCACAGAGAGGGAGCCTTCCGTGTCACGTGTCTTCAATACATCGGATTCACCAGCTCATCCTTGAAAGCTTCTAACATTCCTCCTCTGCTCCGCAGAAAAGTTATTGTTTACTGGACTCTAAAAGCAATCCTCGTACTTGCTTGTGGGTTACCAGCAAACATCTTTTATTATGCAGTCACTGTACCACATCCCAAGGACTGAATGAAACACATCACCAGAACATTTTCAGATGACCCAGAATAATCCCAAGTCCTTGATCTGCAGCACTTATTATTGGAACACTGTGAATTAAGCACACTTCTCGGAAAAAAATACACTTCACAATATGTGCACCGAAACATATGCACGGTCTCAGCAAACAGTCATATAATGGTTCCAAGAAGAACCATCCAAATAAAAGTGATACTCTCATTCCTAGGGAAGAGGATTCAATCAATCTATTTTAATTACATGGAAATACACAATCATGAAAAGAGGCACCTAAAAAATACTGAAAGGATAAGCAATAAGGAAAAAAAAAATGATATGCAAACTATGGCTGCAATTTTTATGTCACATTTAAGACGGCGTTCTGCCCAGGTTTGGGATTGGTTCTGTATGTCTGAGTAAGGAAAGGGGCTGTTGTACTCTTCCCACTAGAGTGGGATAGAACGAGCCGCTCAGTAGCACTTCTGTCTACAGCACACAAACATAAATAAGCCCATCAGAACAGTGGGGATATGCAGTCTCTTTAAGAGAGGTATCAACAAAAGTCACAGAAGGATTGCTTTTTGTTGTTTTCACCCTAAAATTACCGCCCCATAGCTGGTCCGGGTTTTCCTGATGTCAGATTCATTGCCATTGGGCTAAATACAATTTACTGATTTAATACCCTATTATTTAGTTACCTCTGTTTGTGTTATGAAGTGTCAAATTAGATTATCCATACCGTGCTCACTGTAGAAGCTAATTTATACAGCAAAAGAAACTAGTTTTGAAGTATCAAAGTACCTTAAATTATTTACAGTGACTCCGCCTCCACCAAAGACACTCTGCTACCCCCAGGTATATGCAAACACAGAAGTCCTAAAGTGCCACTGGGCATTTTTGCGAGGCAAAAATAAATAAATAAATAAAAATTAAAAAACACAAAGAAACCCAACCCACTTTTTTAGTTCACATTAGCCCTACATTAAAAATCCATGAAAATCTCACCTGATGAGAAACACTAAGATCTGAGTATAATCATGAAAACCTAGTAAGCAAATATAATAAAATACTGTTTCCTTTAAAAAGATCCTATTGGAAAAGCAGTGTTGAAACAGGAAAGGTTTGTCTAATCCCCCACAGATGAGGAAAACAGGTTATTTGTTCATTGTTTCTGCAGCGTCCACTCAATGGGCACGTATTAAGTGGGCCAAGCAGAAAACAAACTTCAGTGGCTTCAACCTTTCACAGAAGCAGAAGGTTTTTCCACCTGGGGACTGATGGAATAGTAAAATAAATAACAGCGCACGATAAATGCAAGCGACGGGAAAAATAATTGGGGGAAATGGACAAATCATCCTGCCTCCTCCCGGTGGCAAACTTTGCAACTTTTTAGAAGCAACAAACCACAGCACCACCAGCTCTATAGATACAGATATATATACATGTACACACACGACTACTTGGAAGCCAAGTACTGTGTTTGCAAACATCCACCATCCTGCATTTACAATTACTGCAAAACGCGGGCAGAAAGCGGGGCGATCTCTACTTAGATATCCTCTCTGCACTGTCAAACGGGGAAGGTCACTTTGGTCACTTAGATCCTTCTCTCTCTCTCTCCCTGTATCACAGGAGTTTTCGACTTTGGGATCCCTCCACTTTTACACGCATCGGGGTAAAATAACCATTCGGCAACTTTATTTACCTCGGTTTAAAAAAAAAAAAGAAAGCGAGAAACTCATTGTGCAAATGCCCAGGAAAAGCTGACACCACGGCTGTCTCTCCAACAGCGCTTGCAATTACCATCAGAGGAGGGGGAAAAAAAAAAATCCAAGTCTGATCTGACCCAAGCAGTCATTTCAAGGGATAATAAAACATTTTTTAAATTTCAAAAAAAAAAAAAAAAAAAGATTGCATCCCCAACGGGGGCTGAAGAACTCCCCCCCCCCCCAAGGAGACCACCCCTCGGGAACAAAAGTTACATTTCAGTCACATGTTGGCAGCAGGAGTAGGAGCAGGTTTTGTTGTTGTTGTTATTTATTTATTTACTTATTTATTTATTTATTTCTACAAAAGCGCACTAATTACGGGGGTGCTTTACAGTTCTGGAGACCACTCGGGTTCCTCCTGGCCAATTGCGACGGGCATTTAATTGTCAAAAAGAAAAGGGGGGGCGGGGCGGGCGGGGCGGGGGGCCCGGAGCCGAGGGGCGCTCGGCGGGGGGAGCCGCAAGGTTACGCGAAAGGGTACAGCCGCCGCCGCCGCCGCCGCCGCCGCCGCGGGGCTGCATCTCCTCCCCGGCGCCCCCAAATCATTCACTGCGACCGGAGCCACTGCCACAGCCCCCTCCGGGGCGAGGAGCCCCGCAGCACTGCCCCGGCCGGCGCAGCTCGCAGCTCGAGGTCTCCGAGCCCGGAGCGGGGGGGGGGGGGAGGTCTTTACCTTAATGCTACACTGAGCAGGAGTCTCAGACATGTCTCACAGCGAGAGAGATCAGGAAGTTCTCAGTTTTTTTCCACTTTCCTTTCCTCTCCCCAACCCAGAAGCGCTCCACGGCCAGCCGGACGCGGTCATTTAAGAAGTTTCTTGCAGCATCTCTCCCGGCAGCCGGCAGCCGGCCCGGGGGTCCGCGAGCGCGCGGGGCGGGGCGGGGCGGCCGGCGGAGTTGGGCGCGCGGGGCGGCGGGGGCGTGGGAGCCGGGCCCGGAGCGCGGCGGCGGGGTCTGCAGGTCGCGGCGCGGCGCGGCGACCCGGGGCGCAGCCCGGCCGGCCTCCCGCTCTCTCCTCCCACCCGCGGCCGGCGCCCCCGCCCCCCGCCTCCCGCCGCTCTCCTCGCTCGCTCGCTCGCTCGCTCGCTCGCTCTCTCTCTCTCGAATGTTTTCCTTCCTGGAAGAGAGAAACTGAAAGGCAGAACTGAGAAAGCTCTTCGCTCATTGATCTTGAGAGTTTCAGTGCAGAAACTGACGTGAATTCCCAGCACTGAGCTCTGCCTCTTAAAGGAGCCACCAGGAAATAAAAGCTCGGGTTACAGCCCGGCATCGGGGAAATAAAAGCCGGGCGGGGGGAGGGGCGGCGGCGGCGGCGGCGGGGAGCGGGGCCGCGCCAGGCCGCGGCAGCCGGCGGACGCGCCGCACAGCCCCCCGCGGCGCGGCCCACGCGCGCCCGCCGCCGGCCCCGGGGAGACGCGGCCCTGGGGCCCCAGAGACCACGAGACAGGTTGTTGGGGTTTTTTTTTTTTCTTTTTTTTGAAACGCCTCCCACCTTCCCCAGCTCCTTCCCTGAGACACCCTGAAATGCACCAGGGCGCCTTCCCCGCACCCCGCGCCGGGGGGCCGGGGGCCGGGGGGCCGGGGGGCCGGGGGGCTAATCCTAGAGGAAGGGGCATTCCGGGAAGGACGCGGAACCCGAAGGAGGAAATAAAACAATAGCCTTTGTTCTGCCTCTCGGCCGCGGCCTCTTTAAGAGAATCCACCAGGAAATGGGAGCTCGGGTTACAGGCTGCTCCCGGGGAAACGTGGGAGCGCGAGCGCCGGAGCGCGACGCCGCCGGAGACAAAGCGGGGGGCCGGCGGGCCGGCGGGCCGGGGGGGATTCCCCGCGCGGGTGGGCGCCCCGGGGCCGGCGGGCGTCGGTGCGCGCGCGCGCGCCCGCGGGGGGGCGGGGGGATGCGGCCGCCGCAGGCGCTTCCCCAGCCGAGCGCGCCGCCGGGGAAGGGCAGGCCGCCGGGCAGTTATCAAAGGCCGTTGAGTTCCTTTTCCTGACCCCGCTTCCTGCCGTGGCGAAACCCGCTGCCCATTTAAAGAAACAGCAGCCGCTACCAACCGACCTAGGCGACTCGACTGCGAGGGTGACGGGACGAGCTCCCGCGCGGCACGCCCCTCCGCGGCACCGCGTCTCCGCGCCGGCCCTGGGCCGCCTGGGTGCCCGCGGCTCCTGCCCGCGCCGGAGGACGCGTCGGCCGCGGGAACAACCGCGGGGGCAGCGGGGCCGGCGCGCCGAGGGTGCTGGCCGGGAGCACGTGCCGCCGTCGGAGCGCTCGGTTAGCTTTACTGTCGTTCGTGGCCCCTTAAAATGCTCTCGAGTGTCCGCTGCAAAACGCAGCACGGGATTTACGCTCCACATTCTAGACCCTGCGGATGATACACACACAAGGGTTTTAGTGTGAGGAGGTGCGTTACGTGACAGATATGTGACGAATACGTACGTGTAAATAGGTATCGCGTCTGTGTCTAGTCTACATATAAAACGGACTTCCCGGATGCCCACCCTACAAGGTTTGTCCTGCTCGCTTATCTCCGATGCGCTGCATCATAACCTGCCTTCAGACCTCCACGCGCTCATCAGGAGGACGTTGGGAGCCAGAACTGATCAAAGGGATCGGGGTGAAAAAGAGTTCTGTTGATGGGAAGGTGGGAATTACGGGTTTTTCTGAGCCTTCGGGGATCTTACCAGTTTGGGTCACCTTTTACTCCTGTGGTCCGCAGGAGATCTCAAGTCCACACCAACTCCTCTGCCTTGGGCCACCTGCTCTCCATCTCTATCCCCCATCCCCCACCCCCAAAAGGGTCTAGCTGCCTTTGATCCCTTTACTTTAAGTTGCAGGCATTGATTCTGATGTCCTATTCCTGGATTAAATCCTATAGACCTCTATATCATTTACCTACCGGTAAGATCCTCGACAACTGTCAGCTTCTAAAAGGTGGGGAACAGTACCCATCTCATAAGATTCTTGTATTCAGTGAGCAAATATATACAAAGAGCTTAACTACCTGAGTACTTGCTATGTATAATATGTGCTGGACGGTAGCTACAATTATTTAACCTCAGGACTGAATTAACTCTCGACTTAACATTTCTTTTTATTTTTTTAAGGTTTTATTTATTTATTTGATAGAGAGAGAGAGAGAGAGAAAGAGCAGGAGCAGTGGCGAGGGCCAGAAAAAGAAGCAGATTCCCTGTTGAGCAGGGAGCCAAAAAACGGGGCTGGATCCTGGGTTCCAGGAAGTGGGTTCATGACCTGAGCCAAAGGCAGACACTTTGAGCCACCCGGTTGCCCCTCAACTTCCATTTCTATCTCCTCTTTACCTTCTCCAACCGATTCATAGAAGTAGCAATTTGAATTAGAAAGTATGTGATTCCGAAGCAAAGCAACAATTGTGGAAGACTGTGCATTTAGATCGGAGGTTGGCAATCTCTTTCTGTAAAGGGCCAAATACAAAATATTTTAGAGTTTGTGTGCAAAGAGGCAAAAATGAGTGTATTATGCAGATACATAACAAGAGAGAAAATATCCACATTATTAGTGTAATAATAATAATAATTGTAATCAGGTCTAATAATGAGAGGAATGGGGTTCCTTTTGGGGGAGGATAACATTTTTACGTATTTGAGCACCAGTTCAGAGTAAGGGTTCTCTATCATCAAAACTAATTGTTTGTCTGTTAATGCTGATCTGTAATGAAATTGTACATATTTCATTTTTGAAAATATCTTCTCACCCAGATACATACTGGCAACCCATGAGCATATGGTTTTACTTAAGCATATTCATTGCTTAGAAGGCATTTATACAATGCTGTTTGAACTCAATTATTAAGTCCTCTTGATGTTTCCCCATAGCATGCCACTACACTGTAGGTTAATCACTTTCAATGGAAAATCAGGTGGAAGTGCCTCAGTTAGTTGGACAGTTAAGTGGATTTTAAATATGGAAATTTCCCTTTTGCTTGCATCATAATCCAAAAACCACTACTGGAATAGTAGTTTGAGTTGAGAAAAATGTAACTGCTGGAAATCTATGTTGGAATGGAGATCTTGCTTCTTGTTTGAACTTTTGATGACATGGGAAGTTTATAAAGCAGCTCGATATTATTTGGGATTGCAACAATGTTAGTCACGTCAAAATTATTTAAATGTAGCATACACTTCACACAGCTCTCTCTGTCTTGTCTTGTCCTTTTTAGCTTGAATTCATGAAAAACATCAAGTCTGTAGCAAAAGCTAATATCCAAAGACATTCAGTGTTCAATAATTGTGGTTGGGGGAAGTTTTCATTTATTCATTCCCATTTGTCAATTCTTTCTCTATTCCTTGTTTCCTGAATCTTTGGTAAATTGGGTATTTTTTTATATTCCATTAAAATTCCTACATTGTCTTTGTAGCTTTTCTCCTGTATGTTAAATATAGCAGCCCTCTAGAAATTGCATTTTGTATCTTTATAACAGTCTATCTTCAAATAATATTATTCTATTTTAAGACCATATAAGAAAATTACAACGGCATAATTCCATTTATCTGATTCCCATCCTTTATGATACAGGCATATATTTTACTTCTATGTGTTATAAAACCCACCATCCACTGTGAAGGGGGGTTAATATTTTAAAAATCGTAAATATATATATATATGTATGTATATATATATATATATATATATATATATATATATATATATATATATAATGAAGGTACTAAAATATATATACGTGTCTTTTTATTTGTCCTTTCTGGTACTTTTTTATTTCTTCCTGCAGATATGGTTTCATTTTTCTCTGGCCTCAAGAACTTTTGGCATTTCTTGCAGTGCAGTTTGTTGGTGATAAAGTCTCTCAGTTTTTGTCTGTGTGAGGATGTCTTTATTTCACATTTGTTTTTAGAGGATAATTTTCACTGTATATAAAATTTTAGGTTGACAGATTCTTTTTCCTTTTGGCACTTTAAATACATCATTCCATCTCTGTCTCCATTATTCTTGATTAAAAGTCATTTGTAGTTCATATTTTAACTCCCTGTGTATAGTAGCTTTTATTCCTCTAGCTGCTTTTAAGGTCTCTCTAAATTTGGTTTTCAAAATTTTGACTATGATGTGCCTAAGTGTAGTTTTCTTAGTATTGATTCTTCTTGATGTTGGCTGCAATTCTTGGACCATAAGTTGATATCTGTCATTAGCTTGGGGAAAATTCTCATCTATTATGTCTCAATATTGTTTTTGCCCATTCCCCTTCTCCTCTCCTTTTATTACCCCAATGATACAAATATTAGACCACATGACATTGTTCCATAGATCTAAAATACTGTTTAATTTTTCTTTTTTTTTTCTGTCTTTCAATTTGGATGCCTTCCTTCTATCTATCTTTTTTGAATTTCCTTCTTCTGTATTGTCCACTTACTGCTAAGCCAGCCCATCCAACTAATTCTTTACTTGTGGTAGTAGTTTTTTATTTTTAGCATTTCCATTTTTTATACTGTGTCACTTTTCTGAAGTTACCCATATATTCATACATGGCTTCTAACTTTTCCTTTGAGTCCTTTAGCATTTTTGTCATACTGTGATAATTCTAAAATCGGGACTATTTCTTGGTTAACTTTTATTGATATTTTCCTTTCTTTTTTAAAAAAAATATTTTTTTTAATTTATTTGAGAGAGAGAGGAAAAGCGCAAGCGGGGCAGGGGGGCAGAAGGAGAGGGAGAAGCAGACTCATTACTGAGCAGGGAGCCCAATGAGGGGCTCAACCTCAGGACCCCGAGATCATGACCTGAGCTGAAGGCAGATGCCCAACCGAACATGCCCAACAGAACAATTAGGCGTGACCCATTTAGCCATACAGTTGCTATTCCTGGGAAAAGATTTTGGAAATCTCTGTTTTAAAGCAGAGTTACAATGTCTGATACCTTGCGTGTCACAATAACCAAAACCTTGGAA